AACAGGTATGGATGTCTATATACTTTCGCTTTGTGCCACCTTAATGTTTTTTATGGTAATACAAACACAATATCTGTTTCTAGCCAAAGTCCCATTGCTGTCTAGAGAAAAGAAGATGGATAGAGGATAGTCCTGAAGTCTTGGACTGTCTAGGTAGCTACCACCTAGCAAGCTGACCACAAGCAAGAGCTGGCCCCAATCTGGGGGAGCAATGTCCTAAGACGTCCTGAACGTTGGTGCGACAGTCCATGGCTTACTTGAAAAATAAAACTAATCTGCCTGCCCTGTACGGACATATGCCCCTCATCCTGCTCAATGGATGCATGTCCTTCCTGCCACACACAGCCAAACTGTTGTGAATATCAATGAAAGGAAGGTACCAAAGTTAATTATCATCAATTAAACACCAATAATGTGCTCAGCATTGTCCAAGGTAGTCCCTACTCTAAAGTCTGACTGTTCAGTTTGAGAGGCCCAGAGAAAGAGGTCAAATTTAAAGGAGAGTTCACGTGATGCAATGTATGGGGATGATCTGATAGAGGAGAAAGTAGAAGCCAGGCACACTGGAATAGCGAGTAAGGCATGTATTCAGTACACAGCACCACTGCTGGCAAAGGTAGAAAGATGAGAAGAAAAAAATGGGGGAAGAGACTGGCAAGATGCACCAGACAGACTGTTTGTTAGGGGGAGAAACAAGGTACAAAAAGATGAGAGATGCCAAGTTCATTGTACAGTGCTATGAAGGAGAAATTTAAAATTAACGTGCTGGCTAACAGTGTTCTAAAAGCAGTAGGAAGGGAGTGATGTGGCCTAAGGTCTGGGTGAGGAGAGACTTTTCCATAGTTGTTAGAGGCTTAGCAGGTAGAATGACTGAGAGGAAACTGTATGGGACCTGAGAACCTGGAGAGGTTACAGACGTCCTGGTGCATGGACAAGTACTTGAGCTGCGTGCATGCTTGCAGCATTTATCAGTGACATAATCAGCTACACCAGCCAAAAAAAGACAACTGCTGATAATGTCAACTTTCCTTTTATCGGTATGGACCAATATATCAATGCACCTCTAATGAGCATCCTAATCACCTGTATTTTGAGTTGGCCTCTATCTCCCTCTTACCCTCCCCAAGATTAGTTTTATGAACAGTTTTGAAAGGTTTTGGCTTTGTTCCACATCAAAACAAAAACAAATGCCAGAACCTTTAAATTCTTCATGAAACTAAATTCTTGTTTTGGGGTTAGCTGCAGTAGTATAGAACTTATGAATTTGCTGTATGTTGTAGAGGAAGACAAGCTAAAACTTAGCATCAGCCTGTGCACATAGGAAGAAAGAATCAAAGATATAGCTACTTTAAGTGTCTTTGTTTTTACCTTACAACGGAGGCATGAATGCTGCCCAAGCCTGTTACAGGAAACACCTGTTGGAGAAAAGGGAAGAAATCAGCATTTGAAAAATTCTCACTGCAGAGCTGTTTCCTGCCACTGATGATTTCATCCCTTGTAAAAGTATAAATATACTACGGTATTTATTTTTTGAAGTCCCTAATACAAGTTTAGTATAAGGGTTGCAATAGTGCTCAGTCACCACACTATAGCAATAGATTGCATTTCACTCCATTTTATCCATTTTTGAAAGTTCTATACAACGAGTATAAGTCTCATTTGGGCAGAGTAATTTAATACAGAAAGAATACAAACTGTACCTTCCCTCCCAAAACGAGTTAACAAAAAATTCAACCACTTATTTTCCCACACTTTTACAAATAGGTTGGGGATTAAAAAAAAACCTTCACAGCTTGTTCATAAAGTTATGCTATTTTTTTTCCTTGTGATATCAAAAGCAGAGATGTCAAAGCTATGTAAACTTTTGGGTATCACAGTACCCCTTTTCAGGCCTCAAACGCTTGCCTGTGTCTACCCCACCCATGTAGTTCATCCAATAAAAGGTATCACCTGCAAGAATTCTTGCCTCTCATATTTCATGGACCATCATAGCAACAACATCCCTTCAAACACTACAAAAGCTATGTAATCATTTTAAACAGTAAGCCAGGGCCTAGTCCGGAATACTTTTATTTTCCTATGTGAAGGGGACTTGAGGGTTTTAGCAGCTTGCAACTTCAAGCTCAAAATGGATAGTTTCATAGAGGACTCTCTCTGATGTCCTTAACCATACCTCATCATATACACTCACATACATAATCCAGCATAATTATGTTGGAGACAAATAGCAAATATACGAACAGCAAAGAACAAAATTGAGTTAAAACTATCCTTTTAAAATCCAGGTTGCTTAAATGTTCCACCAGAGGCAGTATTGTAAATGCCATAAAATAGGATTTTATGGATGCTGCAGTGTAGTAAAGGTACCCCTCAGGAATCACTATAAACATTTTATCATGTATATTTATGATCAAGCTATCATTGTGCCCTCCTTGGGCATGAACATGATGGCTGCTGCCTTCTCAGAAAGATAACTGGAGAGTTATGAATGTGTCACACATTTAAATAGATAACACTGTAAATGGCAGAGAGAAGTAGTTAGCTGTGTCAGTCTGCAATTATGTACAAACGTCAAACTAACAATGTAACTAATAATACCATAAATGACAGAGAGTATATACAGTGTTCCTGTGGGATAATTTATGCCTTGGAAAGTTTTATTTTATTGATATCAACTTTATGGAATACAATTTTTTCATGCTTGAGTGGAATTTTTGCCACACTTTTTGGACTACATTTAGATTTAAGATGAAAGGTAAAATTGTACCATAATTGCACTGTCATGCACAAACAGAACCCATCTCTCTACTAGGACTCCACTTCGTTGTAGAGTGTGAAATACAGTATAAGCACTGAAAAGCAATGTCATCGTATATGGGATGACATCATATCTGTAAATTTAAAAGACTAAAAGAGAAAAACATATCCTTGTTGAGCCACTCCAGTATTACTTTACAGGAAGGCATCCTGGCAGAATACATTAAGAGGAACTAATCAAGGCTCGAACAACATTTGGAAAAGTAAAAATGAGATAAGAAATTAAAAGTAAAAATGATAAATTTAAAAAAGGGGGAACACTTTGAATCGTGATAGACAATTAATGTAAAAAGCTAAGTAACATTCAAAACAGGACTTGATATTTAAAGGGCTAACAAAACTGTCCAGAGTTATAATTGCAAGGATTAAAGAAAAAGTGAAACCAAACACACTGATGTTTTGGACTAAATATAAACACGTATTTAACAGCACACATCATGCTCTAATGAAGAGGAAGTAGGAGAAAAAGGTTTCCCCAATGGATGGTCTACTTGATAGATGTCTACTGGATCTTCTTCACCTTCCACTGTAAAACTGGGTTCCAGTCCTGGACCGACATTGAACTATTTATACCATGGGGCTTATACTGTATGGCATATCAAAGTTCCAAAGTGGACAGATAAAACGCCACTTTCTACCATGTAATCAGGTGTTATTACATATGAGGAACAAGTGAATCTGCTTAATGTTAGTGGAAGGGGCTTTAAACAAATAACTTACATTTAAATGTCTCTGCCTCCAAAACTTGGCAGCTGGCTTGATGCTCAAACTGATCATCTTCACAGAGGAAATTATGGCAAAAAGAACAACCAAATATTCTGCCTCCTGCAAGATTTATTCAGACAAAATAGCAACAACAATGGCATGAGTTAAAAAAACTCTTCCACATAAAATATAGGCAGCTTTACATAGTTTTGAATAAAGATAAGCATTTAGTGACAGAAGGAAAAAGTTAAGTGGGAAATCCTACATTAAACACTGTCCCCTAGCTTCACACTGAAAATACTACATATCATAACAATACAAGACAACATAGATGTTAAGCAATGAACATGGCCAGTAGTTCTATTCTTCAAGTGTTTTGGGTTGATTTACAGCTGAAAAAATGTTGGATTTGACCATTTTGGGGCAGACTCTCTCCACTTTGGGGCCCCTACTTGTCCCCCAAAATGTTTTAGGTAGGAATAGACCCACTACAGTAACTCCACACCTGGAAGTTGCTGTGGTTTGATCAGATGGCTAGAAGCCAAGAGAAACAAAATACTTTGGAAGGAAAGAAGTGAACCACCAAGACAGCCACATTTTTGCTACTTGTTGGAGTGATGTAATTCTGGACAAGACATTCAGTGTTGAATTCAGTATAAATGTCTAAGTAGACTACATAAACTCTCCTCTGCTGTAATTAGACCTTCATTACTTATATGCTCTTGGGCAAGTAATTCAACTTCCTGCAGTTAGCTCAGCATCCTCCCCTTTTTACAATTAAGTTGTTTCCCAGGTGTGTTGGAAAGATGAGTTTGTATTTGTGAAGTGGTTTGAGAAAGCAAAATGCCATGTGTAATCTAAACAACAAAACCAGTAAGTTATGGTTTTCTTATTTTCAGACTTAAGCAACTTACCATGATCCCACACACCTCTTTCACATTCAATGCATTCTGCATCCGCAAGAGGGCAGATACAAGCATGTGTACTGAGACACTTCCTGCCATGGCACACCCAAGCTTCACAGAAGTCACAGATAGCACCCTGCAGTATAGAAAGACATCTTTCACCTTCCCTCATAACCAAAACTAATTTTGGTTTCTGTGCCTATACCCCACTCTGAATATTAGCAGGTTCATTGCAAGGTATGGAGGGTGTAATCTGGGGGAAAGCCAAGGGGAAGGGGAGGTTGTTGTGTCTTGCTTTTTCTTCCCAATAGCTAGAAAAGCATGAGTTTGCCAATTAAGTCATTTCAACATTCAGCTATTATGTTCTTAACATCTATGTCTACAAGACTTAGGTTGCTGCTGTTTTCTTTTTATATCTTGACTCATGCATGAAAACCAGTATTCTCCCAGATAACTTATTGGTGCAGTTATGTCAAGTAATGCAAAAGACAGATGTAACTTAGGAGAAAGACCAAATTAAATTCATTTAAATTAAAATTATAGCAGTACATGCAGAATAGCACACCACAGTACATTTTAATCTTAGCATTTAACAGACTAAAATGTCCCTAATTCCCATAAAAATATTCAATAAACTGTGTACATATGGCTTCCACAGAGTGACATCCATATTAAAATAGTGTAATGGAATATACAGTAAAACTTATGGAGTTTACAAAAATCAATGGAATGAACTATTGTATTTAAAGCAGAGTGGTACTATTGCAAAAAGTCCATTAAATAAGGGAGACAGCATGAAGAACACATTTAATTTAATTTTCTATAATCACAGCTTTTCCCAACTGTTTCAGCTTTTCAGCTTCTCCGGCAACATTCACATTTAAACAAATGGTTTTATTTTGAAGTGTCTGCATGCTGACAGGTGGGGGTGCGGTGGGGAGAAACATGCTTTACTGGATAAAACAGGATGTTAGTCTGATCTGGCTCCGCAGCATGTGTATAGATCAGGTGATTCAGCAGGGCTTTTTTGCCTCTTGTATCTAATAGCTGGTTGAATCAGCTATGAGCTAAGTGTCAAAAAAGCCCCAATGAAAGCACCCGATCTATACTGAAGTTGGGTGAGCCGGGTCCAATTAACACAATGCCTTTTCTGGGCATGTGCTGGGTTCGGCATGGGGCTGTGTGGAGTTTAAAGTAAAGCACCAGTTTTTGCGGGGTTTTTATGTCTGTAAGCAACTTTTGTATCATCCACATGTAAGGAGTAGAATAAGAAAAACAAATTACTGTAGTCACTGTAAATATTAGTTAAGGTAAAAATACTGCTTGGTTATTGCACTGTAATTCTGTTGACTTCAGGGTGGTTACTCTAAATTTGTAATGCTTTAATGAATTGTGGAACTTATGTTTAATCATTAAGGCCCTACCCTGGTTGACCCAAATGATAAGTTTTAGCTTTATATATGTGAATAATCCCATTGAGCTCAACAGGGATACTCACACATGTAAAGATACTCAAGTATAACACTTTGCAGGATCTGAGCCTAAAATATCATGAGTTAAGTATGCAGTCTTATGAAAAAGCATTGTACTACCATGTGTTGAAAAGAACACCTTGTGTTGTGATCTTATATTACCCTTTAGAAAAAGTCAGATATTTTTCTGTAGCAATCTGCATATTTCACTTATTCCAAAAGATGGAATGGCTTGGTATACATACCACCATTGCAAGGCCAGTACTATATACACCAGCATGTTTTATGACACAATCTGAAGACTTCATCATGCACTTTGTTTTGCCTATTAAAAAGACAAACAAAATTATTTAGAAAAAAAGGGAATGACAATGTAGTAACAGCCAAAAATAGGGAATTCAAGCAAACAATTTCTTAAATACACGTAGCGTAAAGAACATGCCAAAAACCTATAAACACCAACCACTATACAACACATCCCTTTGCTTCTCTAG